TATATATATATATATATATGTATATATATATATATATATATATATATATATATATATATATATATATATATATATATATATATATATATATATATATATATATATATATATATATATATATATATATATATATATATATATATATATATATATATATATATATATATATATATATATATATATATATATATATATATATATATATATATATATATATATATATATATATATATATATATATATATATATATATATATATATATATATATATATATATATATATATATATATATATATATATATATATATATATATATATATATATATATATATATATATATATATATATATATAATTCTTCTCTTTTAAATGCTAAAGATTAGTTTTGGGTTGAATGCAGCAAATACAAGCTTCTCAAACAGAAGCTGATTATGGATGACATTTTTATTTATTTTTTTTGCTTTGTGTTTTCCGCTGTGTTTGCAGAAGTCTGGCATGCCCATATTAGATCTGCCGTTCTGCGCTTGGCCCAATGGAGGTTTGAGACCAAACATGTCGTTCTCTGGGGTCTCCATGGCTCAGATTCTCAGTGGTTGTGGTCTGCTTTCAGAGGACACTAAAAACCTGAGCAATAAAAAGAGTGAAGCTCCTGAATCTCCAACAGAGAAAGCCCTCTCTACACCTTCACCTGTGATCGAGGCGGTGAAAAACCATGATTACCCGTTACCGCAACCCATTCCTGAAGGTAAAACAGAACAAAACTATGCTATGTTATAAAAAGGCTTTATGTTATATATATAAAAAAACTATATTTTTAATATACTATATGAATTAGTAAGAAAAGACTGGTACAGTGATTTATTCTTTATGTAAAGCATTCTAAATTGCTATTGTGTGTGCGAAGTGAAGAAATAAACGTGCCTTGCTTTGCCTTGATTACAATCATCTTTTCAAGCATTTTAGATGGTAAAATCTGTAGATGACCAGATTCTCATCTCAGCAAGCCTATATGTGTTATTGTGTTGTAGAGATGTTGACCGGCTGGTGGAAAGTGTCCTCTGTGGAGGAGCTGCGGTCCATAGAAAAAGCCTGTCATCCCAGAGGGGTTCGAGAGAAGCAGCTGCAGAAACAGCTGCAGAAACACATGGACTATATAGCTCTGATCTGCAGCAGAAACAGAGACGGTACCATCACTGTTATACATGTTAACTGTCATGCACATTTTTGAGTAAAGGCCTGCAAAGGTAATGTCGAAATTCAATTTAATATAACTCTGAAATGCATTTGAAATTGAACTGGTTTTCTCCAGTGTCTGTGATGGAGGTCTCGCAGCTGAAGCACAATGGTCTCACTGAGGAGACAGTGCAACACTGGTGTGTGGAGGAGCAGGCCATGGAGGTGGACATCAGTGTCCTGCAGCAGGTGGAGGAGCTCCAGCACAGGGTCACCTCTGCCAGCCTGCAAGCCAAGGTTAGAGAGAGGGATTATAGTAATGAACTCAAATGGACATCTTTTCTTGTTTGTGCCTTTGAGAGCTACTGTGTCATAAGGTCTGTAAATGATTAAGATCAAAAGTTTGCTGAAAACCATTCTACTATATTTATTCAAATTGGGGCACCCTGTGACTGCATAATTATTGGCTCTTTCCTTATAAGAGAAGATCACAGTGAAATGCCGTTCGGTTTCTCGAGAAAACTGGATAATGTCATGTTTTTCAAACATATACAGTGCATCCGGAAAGTGTTCATAGCGCTTCACTTTTCCCCCATTTTTTTATGTTACAGCCTTATTTCAAACTGGATACAATTAATGTATTTTTTCAACATTCTACACACAATACCCCATAATGACCATGAGATACCCCATAATGACCTTTGCTCAATGCTTTGTTGATGCACCTTTGGCAGGATTACTACCTCAAGTCTTTTTGAATATGATGCCACAAGCTTGGCGCACCTGTCTTTGAAAATTTTAGCCCATTCCTCTTTGCAGTACCTCTCAAGCTCTATCAGGTTAGATGGGAAGCAACGGTGTACAGGCATTTCAGATCTCTCCAAAGATGTTCAATAGATTTAGGTCTGGGCTCTGGCTGGGCCACTCAAGGACATTCACTGAGTTGTAAAGCCATTACATTGATATCTTGGCGGTGTTCCTTGGGTCATTGTCCTGGTGGAAGATGAACCGTCGCCCCAGTCTGAGGTCAATCTGAAGCAGGTCTTCATTCAGGAGGTCATTGTCCTGGTGGAAGATGAACCGTCGCCCCAGTCTGAGGTCAAGAGCACTCTGAAGCAGGTCTTCATTCAGGATGTCTCTGTACATTGCTGCATTCATCTTTCCCTCTATCCTGACTAGTCTACCAGTTCCTGCTGCTGAAAAACATCCCCACAGCATGATGCTGCCACCACCATGCTTCACTGTAGGGATGGTTTTAGCCTGGTGATGAGCGCTGCCTGCTTTTCTCCAAACGTATCGCCTGGCATTCACTCCAAAGAGTTCAATT